TGCACTTCTCGAGACGGTGGAAGGATGACCAATGTGTTGATGGTTACCACCACCATGGGGATGGTCCACTGGGTTCATAGCAACACCTCTGACTTTAGGCCAGCAGTTACGTTTAACTCTGTATTTGTGGTGAGCAACACCAGCCTTCAAAATTGGCTTATCGATTCTACCTCCTGCACCAACAACACCAACCATAGCTCTAGCTCTAGCATCAATCGTTTTTTTTGCACCAGAAGGTAAACGAACTTTGGTCTTCTTTCCATCCTCCGATTGACCAACCACGGTGGCGTAGCATCCAGATGCCTTCACTAGCGTTCCTCTATTCCCTGTGCGGTGCTCTAAATTACATATGAGAGTACCTTCGGGCATTTTTCCTATGGGTAGAATATTTCCAACAGATAAAGGAGCTTTAATACCACAAGAAATGTACTGACCGGTGAACATGCCTTCTGTGGCTACCATTAATTCTTCTTTCTTTCCATATTTTTCTGTTTTTTTAAAAACAACTTTTGCCAAGGGGGCTCCTCTTCCTGGGTCATGAATAATGTCCTTTATAAGTCCTTTAATGTATCCCTTCTTTTCGCAAAAGTCCAGGTGGCGCAGTTTGGCTGCTCCCTTTCTGTGGTGGTTGTGGGACTTGAAAATCGAGCCTCTTCCTTTCCTTTGGCCTGCACGGGGGAGAACGCGGTGGGAAGTCACATGAGTATTGTGAGTGATACAATAAAATAGAGCAGTGTATGGAACGCAGAGCACCGGCTGCGCGCAAGCTTTCGCCAACATAAAATCGCACAGGCATATGTATATATATACTCTTCTCCGCCCTTGGCGCGGAATAAAGGAAAGCAAAACACGCATCGTATTCTATGCTTTTTTTCTTTTTTTTTTTTTTTTTAGCCCCTATGGGGAAAATATGTACCTCTTATAACTCTTCCCATTTTGAAAATCTCTTCTGGAATTATAAAATCGTTTGAATTGTTTTTTCCCTAATTGTGGGGCTTTTTTTTATCAAGCTCTACACTTGGGTAAATTTCGCGGAGGAAATTATATATATATCTTTTATTAATTATTTGGCCCTGAAAAAGGGATGTAACAAAATTACATTCACGCGCAAATTCGTCGCAGCGTTTGGCCAAAAACAAAATCTCGTTCTTTCTTTTGGATAATTATTATCCTTAACCATGCGGGAGTGTTACCTTTTTTACTTTGTTAAAACCTTTTCGCAACGCTTTTTTTTTGTTTTTTTTTTTTTTTTTTTTTCCAGCTATTTTTTTGGGGTCATAAGGGTTTTTCTTTTTGTCATATTAAACATGGGATTTTTTTTTTGTCCCTGCACTATAGGAAAGAGTGCCCCGTTACATATGGGGTATATTGTATCTCCCTCACATGCGTAATTTTTGTTGTGTATTACTCTACTGATCCCAATTGCGTATTCCCGTGCGTACAATTTGTATGCGGTATTAATGTATAAATTGAACGCAAAAAAAATGGGGATATATATATAAATATACTTGGGCACTATAACGCTGCTTCTCTTTTACCGGTGGGCACGTTGTTCAAATCGGCACGTTACAATATACGCGCTGTACCGTATATAGGGTTCACCCACTGCGGGGTGGCTAAAACAAGGGGTGATTTAAGAGGTTACCCCGAACCGTATATGCGTATTCGCGGCGCGACCTACTGGGGCCACTCCTCCCTTGGGCTTATGTTCCGCCTTGCCCCCATATGCATACAGCAAAGGGAAGAGGAACCGGACCAGACCCTCTCCGCCCATATGATAGAGCCCACCCCCATTTTTTTTCGCGACTCCTCAAATGTGACCCCTATATTTTTGATGCTCTTACTTTTCCTGTTTGGGGGACATAATAACCAATGGCAAAACAATTTTAAGGGCAAAAAATGGCGATTTTTACTGGGACAACAGCTGTTTGAAGAAAATGCCCAGCGCCGCGTCACAAAACAGAAAAAAAAAATAAATAAATAAATAAATACGTAAAATAATAAAATAAAAAAAATATAAAAATAAAGTGAATTTCCCAACACGGAAAAATATAAAACTGTCCAGGGCTACAGCGCCAACCCGCGATATTTGCAACAGGTTTATTGTGCAACAACAAATTGGAAAAAAAGAACATTTTTTTTCTGCCCCCTTTTTTTATGCTAACGTATAGAACACTTCAAACAAAGGATGGTGATGGAGGGGGAAAAGAAAAAGATGCATACATAAACCGTCTGCCTTTTGGAAAAGGAGCACCCACATTCGTATTAGCCGTTGTGTGTTGCCCAATAAGGTTGTGTGAAATGGCGTAAAAAAACGTAACTCCCTATTTTGCGTGATGACCGCACTATTTAATTGTCTCATCATGCAGGAAAAAAAAAAAAAAAAAAAAAAAGAAATGTACAATTGTCCCACAAGTATAACCCAACCCTGTATGCATTAAAAACGGTTTATGTGTACCAATAACGGAGGAATTTTTTCGTGGGGCCTCTAAATTAGGCAATTTCCAAAGTGCGCCTCAATCGAGGTGCCCCTTTGTTTATTAGTCGCTCCACCTGGGCGGACGCACGCACGGACCGACGAACGAACAGTTGTTTTATAAGTGTAATAAGTTGAAGGAATACTTTTTTTTCTTATCTCCTTGGAATTAAAAACTGTTGCGAGTGTTAAGTTTAAAAAAAAAAAAAAAAAAAAAAAAAAAAAAGGAATGATATAAAAGTGCATACGGGTATAATACATGTCCATACCTCGATATGAACGAAATGGATGATGAAATGTGCATGTGAGGAATGGGCACAAAACCGCTTCCCCAATTTGCTCTCATTAGGACTAAATAGGGGTTCGGTACGCAGTGACGTCAGACCTAGTTTCGTACCATTTTGTATAGCCTGATTGGGACTCTTCTTTTTTTTTTTTTTCTATGGCAAAGTCAGCATGGTACTCGTGCACGCACTAAGGAAGGGGGGCTCCTCCCTGTCTCTCCGACAGGCTTCCATCCAATACTACTATCAACCACCCTGCCTGTTAATTTGTTTCTTTGTGGCATCAAGTCCAACTCATTCACTAAACTCAACAGTCTGGTACGTCGATCTCCCCAGAGTCAATCATCTCCTGGACGGTGGTTGGCTTCTTCCCATCGACGGTGCAACCAATGGAGTTGCAAGTGCCTAAAATTTCTTTCACAGTTCCTTTAAATTCTTTGGCCCTGGACTTCTCCTTCATGATTCTTGCGATAGAGTACACTTGCTCAATTTTTAAATTTCCATTGTGTTTAATATTTTTTACTTTTTTCCTATCCCTAGGAGCTTCATTTAATTCCTTTAGCACGAGGGAAGCTGATGTCGGTACCACTTCAATTTTGGCTTGCCTATTTTGTATGGTAAGTTTTACACAGATTTTCAGTCCCTTCCATGATTGTGTTTCTTTTGCTATATCGTCACCAATTTTCTTTGGGGACAGTCCAAGGGGACCTAGCTTGGGCGACAGCACTGATGAGGCTCCTACTTCTCCTCCGACCTGTCGGATGTAGACTGCACGTATGGGGTAAGAGGGGGGGGAAACGACAACATGATGAGTTAGTCATGTTTGGTTATTGTTCACGGAAAGGGCAATGACAAAGACGGGGGTAGTTGATGGCGTGTATAAGAGAAGCTCATATGGTGGGGTCCTCAACAATGGAGCAAGGAGAAGAACAAAAAAAAAAGGGGGAACAATCCTTCACAGGCATAGGAGTAGTTAGTACCCCCTTCCTTCCCCCTAACCAATTACTTCCCCTCACTCGAATAATCGCTTCTCTGTACTACGTTCCACTCCTCTGGGGGACCCCACTCAATGTCACAATAATGATTATGTACAATATACGCATGGAAAATTTATAGCTCCCCCACAACAATATATATACGCATAAAAAGCCACTCTCGTCATGCGAAGAGGTGAAATAAATCAACAACGGAAAAACGGCAGGCGGAGGAATGAATGAATAACAATCCTCCACCCACTCTTCACTCCTCTGCTGCTAATCCATTTATGCGATTAAAAGGAGGCAACATAATAAACACGAATAATTACCATATTTTATCTCGTTGGGATCTGGTCTTTTAGCCATTTTTGATGAACTTGTTTCGCGCTTGTTAAAAATTCAAAGGGAGTTTTCTTCCAATTCGCGTATGAGTTGTTTTCCGCAGCGGGCGACGGCTTTGCAGTTTCAGTCGTTCGTACGTTCGTACGTTCGTACGTTTGTATATTTATAAATTTGTGTAACTTATTTTTATTTTATTATTATTTTTTTTAATTTTATTTATTTATTTATTTTTTTTTTTTTTTCCGCCCACGTGGCCAACACGCTAATTTTGTGAGCAGTCGAGAGGAACGATTTTAAACGGCGATGGGTAAAGGGAGTGAATTTGTAAGCATTTTGCGATAGGGCAATCTACTCAGATGGCACGCTCCATTAATGGTTCGTTTAATTAATATACTCGTCCTGTTAGTCCCGTTAATTCCCCTTTTTTCGTGCGCTTCGCCTGGTGCTTTTAAGCTATACCTTCTGTAGCTTTGTTCACCTTATCGCGTCGCCCTCGCATGAGCCCACCGCCGCACCGCCCATAGGCAGTGGCGTCATTATAGGGTGGGCATACATCCAACTCGGAGTCCCTTCCCCCACGCCACCGCTATACATATATATATATGTTTGCATTATTGCTTTCACCCCCCCACAGGAGTCGCGGAGTCGTGGAGTCGCATTGCTCCTTAATTTGTAGAGCTTATACAAATTTTGCAGAGATCTGCCTCTCGGGCCTTGTCCCCTTCCCCGCACAAGTGCCTTTAAAAAAAAAAATCGCCTACAGGGTATTTTGTACCCATGTATCCACCCGCAGGTTATAATAGCAATAAAAACGGGGAGAAGGCATAGAAGGGGAAAATTTGCTCCACCCCCCACTATATCAAATGTACAAAAAAAAAAAAAAAAAAACAAACACTTCAGGCAAAAATTGGGAACGCGCCTCTAAGGATGCAAATCCGTGAGCTTGTGATGCGGTTCCGCCGCCACACCCAATAAACGGTCCAGTGAGAGGACGCCCCTAATTTTCCGCGGAGGATACTTATACCGGGCCTTCAGTACCTCCGTACAGTTGGTTAAAATGTGGTCTAGCATATGTAGAACAAATTTTGTCTCCATGTTTGACGCGCACGCATCTGCATGCAGCAGCACTCCATCTGCCGAGTGTGCATGCCGCAGCTTCCTAACAAAACGGACAAATTTTACTCCATCTGAAAGGCCCAACTGGGCAAAATTATTCTTTATGTGGAAGAGGATTCTCTCGAGGCTGTCATAGTGGTAGTAGTGACTGCGTATAGCGGTCTCCAATATTCGCAACTCGTCTTCCACCCGAACGTCAGTATTGTGGTTGTTATAAAGGTGAAATAGCTTTCGCAAGGTAGGGTTCATAACGGATAGTGTCTGCACATGGAAATTTGTCCCCGCTTCAGGGATCCTCATTGGGGACCCATCATTGCGGGGTACACATGCCCCATCAAACAGGAAGGCGTTAATCCTAAAGAGGCTTAGAATGAAATTTTTTATGTCTCTTGGGGAGTAAGCCAGTTGGGTCCTTTCTACATATTCAATCGCCTTGGTATAAATTTCCCACCGTTCATGGAAAGGCAAAATACGCCCATATAAGGAAAAAAGGGAAAGAAAGGTACACATCTCCTTGTGTGTAAGATCGAATTTGTTGCGCACAATGATGTGGAGGAGCTTCCTGTGACAATCATCCGAGAGGGAAACTTCTTTCCTCTTCCATTTTCTAATCCTTTTTATTCTGCATTTGTACATATGATAAGAACGTAGGAAAAGTACCACGTCAGAGGATATACAGAAATGCCCATTTTGCATTACCTGTCCCATCAGTTTGGAAAGGAGGGCTGGCTCAAAATGGTTATTCTTTATAAACATCCTGAACAAGAGGATGGTGTCATTTATCTTTAGGTGACTCCAAAAATTATATACCGTGTCATTCACAGAGCCTTGCAATAGGTAGTACTCAATTCGTTTAAGTATGTTATTTTTTTTTCTCTTTTTTTTTTCATATTTTATTTTTTGCAAGGCATACAATAATCGAATGATTCCACTGGGACCAAACTCCGGGAGAAGAACCACAGCTTTGTTAAACTGCTCATCCACTTGGTCAAATAATTTACTCCTTCCTATTGTCCTGTTGGTGTAGCTGCCTTTCTCCTCCCCTTTGTTCATCTGCACCTTTCTGAAGTGCCTACTGATGTGTCTCTTTCGTGTTGACTTCCCTTTGGTGTACCTCCCCACCAGGGCTATATGCTCACACACATTTTCCAGGTGCTTCAATAAATGGGTACCATTTATTTTGTTCAATGTTACACTCGGGATGAGGTTCCGGATGAGAGGAATTGACAAACTCTTCATTTGTTTATGCGTATAATGAGGTGAATGCTTTTAAGCGAAGTAGGGTGAACAAAAAAGGTGGACCTGTCCCACCTGTTTGGCTCTCCACACCAGGTAAGTGGCAACAAAACAAGGGTTTAAAAAGAAGAAAAAAGGGGGGAAGCACATTATATATGGAAAAAGTAACATGCACTAAAAAAAACAACTCCAAAAAAAGGGTCCCCCTCACTTGATTATATATAGAGGGGCAGTTTCAAACGGTACGATTAACAGTTTAGAGGCCGGGCTCCGTTCCGACCCATTTTATATTATGGGTGAATACATGCTGCTTTTCTTCCCCTTCCACTGGCTAAGAAGTAAAGGTTAGCAAAAAAAAAAAAAAAAAAAAGGATACACATCGCATAGGAGCTTCTCCAAATTTGACTCCGCAAAATGACGCGGAAAAAATGCACAAAAAGGAGGCAACAAAAATAACGGCGTCATGAATTGCACAAAAAAAAGGCACATGCACAGCGCGCAACTCCTCGCCTGACCAGTGGCAATCCCCTTCGTCGAAGCTGTGTTGAGATATGCCTACTTGATGGTCTGCGCCTTCCTCAAAAAGTGCAAACTTGAAATTTTCATTTGTCCCAGCATGCCGCACACGACCCAGCGGCCATTTTTACAAATCTTAATCACCCCATCAGAGGTGAGGGCGACTAGAAAGTTACTCTCGTTAAAATCAAAGTCTTCTATTTTTCCTCCGCCTTTGCTGGTATCACTGTGGAGCATCCAATTCTTACGTTGTGTGTTGAAGATGTAAAAATAATTCTTCTCATCTAGAACCCACAGTTGATCATTTCTGTCAAAGGCCAATGATTTCAACTTGGCTATTCCGTAAGCCTTTTTTTCCTGCACCCATTCGTATTTGTTCCATTTTTGTAAATCGCCCCGCAGATTTATTGCCCACATTTTATTCCTTCCACTAATGGCCATTTTTAAAAAGAGAGTTTCTTTATGCGTGTCTATTTGTTGGAAGCACCTATTGTTCATTAGAAAACCAAGATGGAAATCTGTATTGATGCAAATGATATGTCCCTTTTTGTCAGTGCACAGGGATATGAAAGATTCGTAGCGGATGTTTATTCTCGTCCAGTGGTAACCATCCCATGAGTACACTTCTCCTGAATGACTTACTCCAAGCATGTTTTCAAATAATGGTAATCCTTGTTGGAGACCCGTTTTCCGTAGAACCATCTTTTTGTTCTTTGTTAATGTTGCTCGGTTTTTCTTCCTGGCCTCTATCTGAGGGCTATATTTGGCCTCTGCTACGTTGTTCTCTGCTTTATTGGTCTCTGCTTCATTGGTCTCCTTGACGTGGTTACCTTTGCCCAAGTCCCCATGCTTGGTTGAACTTCGCCTCTCGTAGGTTGGAATATCCCCTGGTGTCCTCCCTATGGACTTTTCCGACTTTTCCATCTTCGTCAATTCCTCCGCCCGCTTCTTCGGCATCAACGGGCCCAAAACTTGCGACCTCTCCGAAAGAGGCTTCCCATTTTTCGCAAACGATTGAGTGTTCCGCCTGCCGACCATTTGGAAGGACTTGATTTTATCTGTGCTCATGAACCTCTCAGCTATTTTTAAAATCTGCGTCTTTGCACTGATCATATTTAGTTTCCTTTCCGCATTCATCTTTCGCGCTTTATTGTACGGGGAGAAAGAAGTATAGGTTACGTTCTTGTCTACTCTCATGCTGAAGGCTTTCTTGGGCCCCCCCCCTTTCAAGGCTCCTTGCAAATTTTCTGTGTGCAGCTTTTTCAGCTTTGGACTTGAGTACCTGTAGCTGCTGCTCAGCGTGTGCGTGGTGGCTAGGCGCTCAAACACGGACACTTTTTTGATTGCGCTTTTTGCTGGTGCCTTGAGTTTGTCTACCGATTTTTCATCACCCGAGTTGCCATCCCTATCCTTGCTGGCATCATCCACGTTTGGGTCATCATCTACGCTGCTTTCATCACCTGCGTTTTCTCCTGCCTCCAGCATCACGCCCATTTTCGATGTGGCCACTTTAACAGGCCTCTCCAAAGCGTCGCTACTGCTGACCCCCAATGAATGTCCCTCCACACCTTCACGTTTGGAGTCCATCTGTTCCAAAGTGCTTCCATCCAAAGAGCTGTTTTTTTTTTTAAGGGATGACTTTAATCTTGGCGCATTTCCGCTTGTTAGTCTTTCCTCATCAGATGGATCATCACGGTTGGATCTAGGCCCTTGCACGTCTGTGTGCAACTGCTTTTTGAGAGAAGTGCTTGAACTTTTTATGGCAACGTTGTATTTACTCAATTTATCAGTCGATCCCTGCATAACAACCGTTTTGCTCTTTATGTATTGCATGGCTAATGAATCGGACACTCACACAGGGTAAATTTTGTGGAGATGGGACAAAAACACCTGAATTTGTGTCAAACGTATGACACAAAATGGTGATCCCTTTTTTTTTTTTTTTTTTTTTGTTGTTGTTGTAGACATCCAACGGGCAACCCTGCTTACGGCTGCACGTGGTTATGCATATGTATATGTACCTTGTCCAAAAGGGGAGAAAGAAGGACAAAAGTTTAAAATAAATATAGTGAATATATAATGCGGTTAAATGAGACTCTCTTCATAATGGTCAACTTGAACCATCAAGTAGTCTCCATTAAAATGAAGAATCATAGTTTTGCCAAATTGATGAATTAATTATATTTTGTGTGTTTAATTTGGTCAAGGTTGAAGCAATATGGTCGAAAACACTTTTTTTTTATGAACAGCCATACGAAAAAAAAAAAAAAAAAAAAAAAAAAATTACAAGAAATAGCTAGCTACTTGTTGGCTGTATTAACAAGGGAAATTTTGTAAATTCGGACATATATAGATTAATATATTGGCTCGTACCATGTATAGATATAAAAAGGTACGTACTAGTGTGTATGCTCTCCAGGGGAGCCACACCGAGGTAGATTAATCTTTCCCGTTTTTATGCAGAAAAACACCTGTATTCGCGGATGCTACGCAAAAAACGGCTATCTTGTACAGGGTGAAAGGAGAGGAAAAAGACAATTAACATTCTTCTTTCTTGCAACTATTGAGGCTAAATCCAGGCCCAAAGATCCTTTTACAATACGGGTCCATGTGGGTCATTTTATCCAACTTGAAGCACCCACTATAATAGTTTATCCGCCGTAGTGTTGTCATGCATTTGTCTTATGTGTAACATTGGGTATGCGCGTGTGTGTTTTTGTGTACGTTTCAGGGGGGAGGGGCCTTTTTTTTATCTATTTTTTTTTTTTTTCTGCTAATCAGATCACAAGGTTTAGCATTCTGGCTCTCGCGATGGGCTGTGTGTAATGCCGCAATCACCGCTGGGCATATAAATTGGGCGTTTAATAAATAAGACAAAAAATTACAAACAACTGCTTGTTTTATTTTGCTATATTCTACTTTGCTACAGTCTATTTTTCTATATCCTTATTTTGCTATATTTTATTTATAAATAATTATTTTAAAAAAAAATTTATAAAATAGTTCATTCAGTGCGGGGCTACTTGTCCCTGTGGTGTGGGCGCGCGTGAAGGGAGCATACGTTTACACGCGTGCATGCAAACATGCGCATGTGTCCCACTATACGCATATGTATACACAGCGTATGGGGAGGGGAACACATAAATAGGGTAGGTACGTGGCTATAAAAAAAAAAAAAAAAAAAAAAAAAAATAATAATAATAATAATAATAATAATACATAAAATAAAAGCAATCATGCACCTAGATAGTAAAGTGAATTGAACTGAGGGAAGGGGGACACACGTCTATAACGTGTAACACCCATGTGTGTGCAGATATAGCGTGCCTGCTAAATTGCATTACGAAGAGGGATAATAACCTTTAAATAATGTTAAAGGGGAAGAAACACCTAATTTAAGATAAGCACGCGAGAGTGGGACGAATCACAATGATAAACTTTTCTCATTGGGCGCGCTCATATATAAGTACATATATAAAGTACATACAAGGACGCATGGGCACAAATACACCCATGGTTATTGCACACCTAGACATTTAGCATGAAAAGTATACAAATGTGTAAAGTCGATACGTACCCCCTTCTGTGGGAATGTGCTTCTCATCCACACATAATACAAACGCCTAATGTCTTCTCTTATGGGCCCATGAGGAGGATCTAGATCTGGATTTTGATGCAGATCTAGACTTTGATGTGGATCTGTTATTTTTTCTCTTTTGTTGGTATGACATACTTTTGGAGTAACTTCTTTTCTTATCATATGCATCTCTTCTTCGATCCATGCTTCTACTTCTGCTGCTACTAGATGTTCTACTTCTACTCCTGCTTCTGCTCCTACTTCCACTTCGACTTCTACTTCTGCTCCTGCTGTAGCTTCTGCTACTGTAGCTTCTACTTCTGGTGTAGGACCTTTTACGGCCCCTAGAGTAGCTCCTGCTAGAATAACTCCTATTCCTGCTACCGTACCTACCGTACCCTCCATCTCGGTGCCACGATATTTTTTTCTCTCTAATTGTTATTTTGGACTTTTCACCTTCATGAGACCTAAATGTAGATCCGTTAAATTTCTCAATCGCTTCAAGCATGTCTTCCTTGTGGAAAAAAGAAACTTCACCAATTCCGTTTTTAAAAACGTCTGCGTGGCCGCATTCTCCAGCTTCTCTCAGATGGTCCTTCAAATCTTGCCAGCTGCCTGAAAGGGGTAATCCGCTGACCTGTACGTGGGTGAGTAAAATGAGTCAAGTGTGAAGACGAGGAAATGTAGAGCAGTGAGGTGTAGCAGCATGGACACGCACTATCACTAAAACGGACAAATGGACGGAACATAAAAAAAAGTAAAAAAATGCTACACGTCAAATGATGCACAAGGTCGCATTTCTATTATATCGTTATTTATTATTATTTTTTTTTGTTACCTCAACGACGTATCTGCCTCGCCTGGACCTCATTCCCCTGCCCATCATTCCTCTACCGCCTCTAGATCCGTATCTCCCACTATCCCTAGCGTTAAAAGGGACTTCTACCCTTAACTTATTACCCCCATAATCACAACCGTCTTTTTCTTTTATCGCATCCGCCGCATCTCTAGCATCCTCGAATTCGATAAAAGCAAAGGCAGCACCTGACACGGTTTTTTTCACGTCACACTTTTGTATGTTTCCATATTTTCGAAATTCATTTTCTACATCCCTTTGCGTTACGTGAGAAGGTAAGTTTCCCACGTAGATGCGTGAAATGCTTTCACTCATAGACATTTTTGGTGGACTCTTTTTTTTTTTTTTTTTTTTTTTTCCTCGTTATAAAAAACACAGTTCGTGTAGGGGACACGCCAGATGGATGGAACGTGCGTCGAGTATTATACTTTGGGTGGTTGGCAATATGCCCACTTGGTGTTGCATTCACGTATCCCTTTCACACGTAATCTCTTCTGCGTTTTTCTTCTGCCCTTCTGCTGCGCCTTCAGCCGTGTCGAGATTGCCCACTCTATTGGTTTAGTCACCACGTAGATTTGCAAACATGTACGCGCGGGGAGAAGCGGGGTATGGCGACTAACCCAGTTACGCGTGGGGAAGCCAATACCACTGTCACCGTTGCGGGAACAGAACCAGCGTGATCCCTCTTTCTCCTTCGCGTATGCGCCTGCCAAAAACGCAACACGTTGTAGCTGCTCGAAATTGGAGAAATGCAGTTAGCGGGTTGGGCACAAAAGTACATGTGGGATATAAGTTCGCTCTACTACGTTTTTTCAATGTCAGTTGGAAAAAAAAACAAAAAAAAACAGCTGTATGTAATTCGTTCTTTAATACTTCCAATAAAATTATACTTTGGTAAAAAGGGCGTGAATACAAATGGGGAGTGCTCATATCTTCCCTCTTTTTTTTTTTCGTTCCCTTCGCATATGTAGTATTTTGTACCTCTTTTGCGTTTCGTTTTTTGTATTCCCCCTCTACTATTTGGGCCCCGTTTTTTGCATTTCGTTTATAATTGCTTCCGCTATATTGCCCGTTATATTGGCTTTCGTTATGCGTTTTTTTTTTTTT